AGAAACCTATACGACACGTGCTATTACATGGCTTAAGCCGAGGTCGATACGAGTGTACAATCTTAAAATGCTCCCGTAAATTTTGTAATGTGAGGGATTAGTACTTTATATTGACGTTTTTGTTGGTTTTGTATACTCATTTGGTGCTGCAAATGTTTTTCATTTCTAGATCCACCGATTGGAGCTGTAAAACATGCGGCAGTCACAATGCCGACGCACTTCTCGAGCTCAATCCTGAGGCATCCCACACCCCAGACGCCATCGATGCCGAGTTTATAGCCCAAATAGCATTCAAGTCTGAAGCTGAGAAGAAAGTAGACATGGAGAAGCAAGGGAAAGCCGCGGCGTGCAGCAACGATACAAAAGAGGCGCCGACACAGACCGATACAGCCACGCAAGTGAACACACAAGAAACACTCACGCGTCGGTCGGAGAGTGCAGACACACCACAGGCGCCGCCGCCGGCGAGTGTGGGGAGTGCGAGCGTGGCACCCGTTCTCACACAGAGGAATACGAACGGTAAGAAACTGGTTGTAGTGTGCCAAGAGCCATGTTGCGGATGCGTATATGATGGTGTGTGATTGGTATGTTGGAGGTGTGATTGGTGTGTGACTCACGGCCTGGAGTATATGATGGGTGGTAGTATCGCAGACGGTGGGTCTGATCGTGCTGTGGCTTTGGAGATAGTACCCTTCTGGAGACAGAGTGCGCTGTGACTGTCTCGGCTCTTGTTCCTGTACCAGCGTGTGCGGGTTTCTGTACGAGCGCTAGAGATGCACTCTGAGGCACTTACGTTACGCGCATGCACCAGTACACGACCACAGCTAGCGAACCAAAGAGTACATGTACGTGACGGTATGTGTTATTTTAAGTCAGTTATGTACTGGAGAAGTTATGTACTTGAGATGACAGTTCTATACTTAAGAAGTCAGTTATATACTTAAGAAGTTATGTGCTTAAGATGACAGTTCTATACTTAAGAAGTCAGTTATGTACTTAAGAAGTATTGTATTCAAGAGGACAGTACTATACTTCAGAAATCAGTTATGTACTTAAGAAGTTATGTACACAAGATGACAGTTCTATACTTAAGACGTTAGTTATGTACTTAAGAAGTTATGTACTTAAGAAGTTATGTATTTAAGTAGTCGGTTATGTATTTAAGAAGTTACATACTTAAGATGGCAGTTCTATACTTAAAAAGTCAGTTATGTCCTTAAGAAGTTATGTACTTAAGATGGCAGTTCTATACTTCGGTAGTTAGTTATGTACTAAAGAAGTTATGTACCTAAGAAGTTATGTACTTACAATGACAGTTCTATACTTATGAAGTCAGTTATGCACTTCAGAAGTTATATACTTAAGGCAGTAATGCAATTTCGTTCTGCAAATTACACGTCTGGGTGGGCGCTCAGGTTGCTTGCGCGATCGCGGTCGAAACTGTACAGCTCTCTTCGGCTCAATGCTGTGTAGATATATTTTCTCACTTTGGTTTTGTACTATCAGACATCATATAACTAACTTTGGCTTTATACTACGTAGACATACTTTGGCTTACTTTCGTCCCAATGTCGATGGATATCATTTGACTCATTCTGGCCTCAATGCTATGCAGTCATAATTTGGCATACTTTTGTAGACATCATGTAGTTCACTCTAACCTTTTGCTGATCTTCACAGCTGAGCGAATCGCGCAAGCACAGAGCGAAGCACCGCAGCCACAGCCACAGACACTTTCGCCCAGAAGGCCGACATACTGGGGTGAGATATTCCTGACTATTCTGATATGGGGCGTGGGCATTGAACTCCTAACAATGATTCTAATTAAGTTTGCCGTCTAAGTTCGCGCGGTCGGTGATGTAGACTGATATCGTGCATATTAAAACGACTGACGCTTCGATTCTTCGCGCACAACCACCCGAATTTTACTGGAGCAAAACATCTATGAAGACATGACGAAGCATGTAATAAAAACCCTAACCTGCCATACACGGCTGTCACTCGCCTTGAAGGCCTTGACAATAGGTCGGCTTTAAGCATAGGTTATTGAGCGCGAGTCCGCTCTTTGACTTCTGTGTATGCTTAAAAATCGATTGCACTGGCGTTGGGGGCGTGGCTCCTAATCCACGAGTCGTGAAGTGGATATACCGATGTGTTATGATTTTTATCCGGGCGAAACGGCAAGTTTTAATAAATTATTTTTTTCGGTCGTACATAGCGCACATTTGCCTGCGATTTGGTCCAATATTGGTGGCACCTAAGTTCTACTATAGTCGGGAATAAGAGTGCGCCTCGATACCCCTTAAACCCCTAAAAACACGACGGCTGAAATCATCGTGGACACTCGACAACCTAAGTGCACACAAATACGGAAGTACCCAATCCATACCCGAGGATTCGATCCCCAGGAACCATCAGACCGCGACTGAATAAGCACGCAGCGTTTGTTGTGTATTCATCCCAGTACTCGGATAGGTTCTGATATACACAGTGTTTATATTAACTGAGAATCTAGACAAGATATGACAGTTGCTTATCTAGCGACACTGAGTGTATGGCTCAGCTGGACGCATATGGTTTAATGTAATTTGCCTCACGAATGGTACCACCTGGTGAAATACAGATCACTTAAAACACCCAAAAAAGAGCGAGCATGCTGAATAAAATATCATCAATGACTGTAAAAGTCTTAATTCCTACCTAACACAGTCCCAGTGTGGCAGAGTCGATGAGCCTCGCCATTGTAACTATGTTTTACTTGTCTGAGCGTTCCCGATATGTAGTGCATACGCAGCTAGTACATGCATGACTGTAGCTATCTTTGTGAAATGCAAATACGTGTAAATGATTTGTATCACGGCTTTAAATTTATATGCCGTGCCAGTCAAACATTTTTCATCCCCAGCGGCTTTAGCACAGCCAACATGACGTGATAAAAAGCACCCACATGGCCGCATGCCATCTACGGGACACTCCAGCGAACCTAGCGACGACCACAGCAGTCGTGGGCTATGTAAAGAATGAGCTTTATATTTTATAGGCCAACGATAGCACTGCAGAAACTAACTTTCATCATATGTATTCACTACTCACATACGTACATCGCGATGTGCAAGGCTTACCATCAGCTGCTCACCATACAACATCGGGTTTGCTGCGGCGTGTGCGTGCAGTTCTCTGGCCAAACCATAGCCAAGGCGGGGCAGGTGATATTCGGCCAGGTGCACATGGGTATGGCAGCATTTGAG